ACTTTTTGAGCAATTGATAAAATATTAAGACATTATTAAAGATACAAAATTATTATTTACTCCAATTTCTTAAGTTTATAACACGATAACCACAAATGTTACAATTATAAAATTATACTCATTTTATAGCTTATAATTTCAGTTTTAATCTACACATTAAATTTTATTTCTAACATTTACACTTTTTCAAGTAATTGATAAAATATGAACACATTGTTTTTTTCAAATATTTATTCAAAATCGTTTCAATTTCCAAGCACAAATCTTTTAATTATATACTCATTGTATAGTTTCAGTTTTAATCTTCACAATAAATTATCTTTATGTCTTTCACAGTTTTCGAGTAATTCGATAAAACGTAATTGGATTCTGTGTAATCGAGTCTCAATTAGTTCAAATTTAGAAGCATAAATCTTATAATATTAGTATTAAATTTTGATCATAAATCGTACAATTATATAATTCCACTCATTTTAAAGGCATATAACATCCATTTTTCTTTGTAACTTTGATAAATGTTTGTGTAATTCATAAAAATGTTGAGGTGTTGTTATGTTATGAATGAAATATCTTATGATTGCTTATGATGATTACGAATGCTTTTTTCATGAAATTCAAACGAATCTGTGAAGAATGAAAGAAAGAAAAAATCTCAATAATAATAAGCACTTGAGACTGAATGGATGTTCCATTCGACGAGTAAAATGGAATATGCCGATTCCTCCTTATTGTGTGTCTCTCCCTGGATTCTGGCACTTTTCAAGTGATTTTCTTTCATATTTATTTTTCAAGAAAAATTAAAATCTCGAGTGTCCGTCTCTATTATTGGAATATCGTTTCCATTCATCGTATCTCTACGGTTTTGCGGTCAACAGTTCTATTCTTCATCTGCCGGGAGGACTCTTGCATATCCACAGTAAATGTATATATAATATAAAGGCTGCATGGACATGCATTATGCATGCATATACAGACCATGTCTTCTCGGTAATGCCATTCATGATGCAACAGTCGGTGCGCACTTGGCAAAGCCCGTAAATCACTAACGGTTAGTTTTCTTTTTGTTTTGCATTTCTGCAGATGTATTCAAGTGTTAAACGCGTTAAACTTTTCACGAAAATTGAATATAAATCCTTCCTCCTCTTTCAGTTTATTTATGTTTATGTTTCTGTGTTTATAAGCTTTGAATCTTTACAAAATTTATAATAGAATCTTGTATGGAAATATCAATGCTTTAAGCACAAAATGTAATTAATAATTGCACAAAAAATTTATGTTTTTTTAGTAAAAACTTATAAGAAACATTCAAAGAAAGTTTCTAAAACGTATTCAAATTATTCTTGGAACTTTATTGAATAATTTCCAAAAATTTGCATTAAGAAAAAATGTGCTGAACAAACAAATTAGAATTGTGCAGAAAATTTTCTTTACACTCGAACCGGAAGATATTTAAATTTTTTTCTTAGAAACTGTATAGGAAATGTTGGTTTGTTTTTTCTGCCGAAATTGTTTCGTGGAAATACGGAACTTTAGTAAAGTGTTTGTAGAAAATGTGTTGTCCATTCATGCAATAGTAGTGTTTCTTGGAAAGTCAAAATTGCGGTTTTCTTGACCATTAAGTATTTTGGGTAATCCCTTAAAGGGATTGACGACATGCTGCGTCCTCCACCCATCAAAAACAGACACATTTTTACTTACTACGAATCTTTACTACGACTTTCTAACTTTTACCACTTCAAAACTGTACTTTTCTAAAATTATTGTGTTTTAAGCTACAAAAAGAAAACTTTCAAATTGATCTAAAAACTTTAAAATTAACTGAAGTAAAATTTATTAAAAGAAATTGCTTTAAAAGTAAAATTATTGAAAGTTTTCAATTATATATTGTTTTTCTTGACGAATAATCATGAAAATATTTAGTTTTTGGATAAATTAACTAAGTTTATATTTGAAATGAAACAGTCTTATGAATTTCAGAGAAGTAAATGTAAAACTTAAACTTTTGCTCAAAAACTAAATATTTTTTTGAATGTAATAAACATATAAATATTTGAAAATGAAAGGGTTTTATGACTCGAAGCAAAAGCTGGTTTGATTCCCTTGAGTTTCTTCTTGAAAGTAGGAAGGAAAAAGGGTCACAAATGTAAATACGAACTGTAAATATACACTTTATACATCTGCGCAAAGTTACCGATTTCAAACGTATTTATCGTTGATTCCTGTACAAACACAAATACACAAGAGCATTTGCATAATAATTATTATTATTTCTACAGCAAATATTTAGTTACGTAATTTCACTAAACAGAAATTACTGACCGTAATTACATTCAAATAGGAAATAATTACATTATTGATTTTGATTATCTCATATAAAATTATTATACAAATTGCAGATAGTTTCAATTTCTAATTGTATTTTATTGAAAATTCTAAAAAAAAAATGCATTTTTCACATATTTTTAAAGAATTATGCATTGTACAAATTTATGAATGAATGTAATTAACGTACGTGAAAATAATTAGTTTTGATATGAATTGTAATTTCGTAATTATAAACTTATTTATTGAATAAATTGAGAATTCGATAGGAAAATTCAATTATTTTCATTGTTGCATTAATTATCGACGCTATAGAAATTAATACAATGGAATTGAAATAAATTTGAATAATGTGATGTGAAATTTATGGATTTTTTTTTTAATAATATTTCCTAAAGTAATGAACGAAATACAATAATAATATAAAAAAACAACACTTCTGACTGCAATAATGGAGAATAGTTTGAATTGTATTGTTGATTACGAACAATGGGAATGTAATAAAGAATGCTATGAAATTGAAATATCGAGGCAGATGACCAATAATAACAACAACAACGACAACAAAAAAACAAATGTATGTATTTTGTAGAGAGGGAATTTTGCGCACATTTTTGTATCATGGAATTGGTTTTGTGGTTTTTGTGTGCGTTTCCATTTGAAACCAATATTTGCGAATCGAAGGGTTGACATAAAATCATTTTGAAAGTGCAATTGGGGTGTAAAATGTTCCCTTTGCTTCTGCAGTAATTAGGGTTAGTCGTGAAGAAGGGGAGGTAAAAACCGGGAGAGCGCAAGAACGTTTGGTGTGTTTTTACGTTTCGAAAAATTTGCTGAAGATAAGCAAAGATTTATCGTGTCTCCTCTGTGTATGTTTTTGATTGTGAGCGCGATGTGCGAAGTGGATGTGTACGTGGTGCGAGGATTCCTTAGCAAACGGAAAAGTTGTTAGCATAAAAGTTGTTTGAGTTGAGTTTAGTGAAATTTATGTTGTTGTTGTTGTTGTTGGCAGGGAATGCGACGGAGAGCGTTCTGCAAAAATTCAGGAAGACGTTTTCGCTGCGCTTCCAGAAGAAAGGGAGCAAGGAGAGCAGCTGCGCCTCGGATATAGGTGAGACGTTGTCGGAGATCCTGGGGGAGCCTTCGGAGGAGGAGGTTTCGCCGCAGCACCAGGTCCTTCAGAGCAACGAGCCCAAAGAGGGCGAGCAAACCGAGCAGAAACACAGGTATTTCTTGATCAATCAAGCAAAAAGTTATATAATTAATTGATTCATTGATTTAGGTTCGGTCCGTTGATTTGGCGTTCGAGCAAGGAGAGGAAGAAGCTGAACAAAGCTGCGAGAAGCATGAAGTGCAATTCCGGCGACAGCGGCATCCAGATAGAGGTAAACCATCCGCAATTCTCTCTTCGAACCTTAAATCCTTCTATTTTTATGCTCGTCCCCACATCAGATTACTTCTCCGAATTCTCTTTTGGTTTACTGTTTTCTTTTCTTTCTTTGGTTTTGTTCTCAAATAACAACCACCGCGATCTACTAAATATTTGTGTCTCAAGAAGCACGGATGCAATGATCTAAATAATAACAATTTGTATAAAGTCCATCAAATTTTTGACTAATGCTCTGATAAATTTTTGATAGGCTGCAGCTAGAATAGCTTGGTAAGATTTTTTTGTCCTATATAATACATATATAAACTTATATAACAAACGCATAATTCATCCCCCCATTCATTATCGCTCTCTCTCTCTCTGTCTATCTTGTAATTAACAGTTTGATTCCGTTTTTTAATCGATGTGTAAACTAAGTTGATGCTTCTTTCCTTTTGGTTTTGTTGTGACCCTTTTGTTTTTTTTTTCTTCTTCGGAGAGAACATCCCGACACACACATCCTACATGACCTCCCATCTCATTTCGTCAATTTGACAGCTGTCACCTTATAATAATTTGACAGCTGACAGCTGTCAAATTCGATTGCTTCGGCAGTCTCTATTTACCGGAGATACTAGTAACTTTGCATCTTCGCGGGGGCCAACGGAAAAAATCTTGGAATTTCGTAATCGTTGCACAAAGCAAAAAAAATAATTACATAATACGAGAAACGCTCGTTTCCTTCACTTTCCACTTGTCGATGAAATCGTGGTTTCTTTCGAATAATTGATAATAATGATACAATTGTTCTCCAACTTTATTATTAATTTACACAATAATGTATTACGCAATGTAATTTTATTCAAAGAATGGTTGGTTTTTCAAATAATTGATCATAATTACAATCTTTATTGTCAATTTGCATAAGCAAAACTCAATTATTTCCCTACAGAAACGTTTTCTTTTTTTTAATATTTTCAAAAAATTGATAATATATTGATAATAACGAAAATTGGTAACTTATAGAAACCAATGCTATTTACTGCATTTTACTCATAGTTTAACTAAATAATTGAAAAATGTTAACTTCTTTATATAATTAACAAATTTTAATTAAATTAATATTGATTTTTATAGAAATGTGAATTCAATTAATTATTTAATATATTTTTTTTACTGATTCATAATTTTGTTGTTGATTTTCACGTCAACTAAACTCGTGTGTCTATATAGACTCTGATGTTGTTAATCTGTTAAAACTTAAATTGTATAGCAAATCTAGTGTCTCGTCGCATCGTAAACAAAATGTATACATCCATGGAAGTACACCGATGCGCATTTGTTTCTTTCAGCTCATAAACAATGGAATTAATGTAATCGGCCTACTTCTGTGTTGCGTTGCGCTTCGAAACGAAACCAACCGAAAGTAACAAGAAAAAAAATAGAGAAATGAAATGGATGAACAGAAATACAGCAACAAAAAAAAAACATTGTACAAGCGTTTATCGTAAATCAAACAGTAATTAATAATACCGAAGCGCCAGTAAATATTTGTTCGCGTCGGCGATACCGATCCTTGGGCCCTCCCGCATTTGCATTGTTGCTGTGCTCCAGTTCCAAGTAGTGTGTACATAGTATATGTGTGTGTGTAATCCAGTTTCGTCTGGGTCGAAATCGAAACCGGAATAGATTTTAATTTCGTGGTGTGTCTGACCACCAGTGCAACATTCATTGCAGAGTGAAATTCGCGAATTGACGATCCGTTAGTTAATCAATGATTTAACTATCATCCGAGTGACGTAATAATAATAATAATATTTGTACTGCAAAAAGGTTAAATATTTTACTAATTAATGGATTATTTGTTAGCAATTACACGTCCTGTCAACATCAATTACGACAGATTGCTTGATTTAATTTTCTTGTTTCGTTTCAAATATTACAATTTCTTCAATTTTTTTGAGGAGAAAGTTAACTATTTTTTTGGATGTTTTCTGCGCGACAATGTTTTTCATTTTGTTTACAGCTGGCACATTCATATCTAAACGAATCAGGATATAAAAATAATTCAATAATCATATTGTTGTGTAATTTGTGTGTTAAATAATTGTTTAAGCTGAACCCGTTTCAGGTGAGTCTACAATGCGTATGCGTGTGATTGTTTGCTATTTAGCTACTAGACATTTCAGTATTTTACCAAAAAGCTTTCAGTTGTTTCCAAATTAGTTTACTAAGTTTATATAGTGTTGTTCCGTGTATAATACGCACTCTAGTGCTGAAATTTAAAGTACTATATAAGAAAAAAACCTTATTTTTAAGTGGATCAAATGCGTTATGTAAGTGCGTTAATTATATAATCTGATTAACTGGGGTATGCAACTATATATACAAAGTCAATGATAAATTATGATGAATGATCAAATTTGATTGTTGCAATTGTAAAATGTTACAGGATGTGTTAGGAAAGTGTTATAATAAGCCTTTCTCGCAATGTTTTTTTTTAAATATATATTTTTGAGGTGCGTCGGGTGTAATAAATAAGCGAGTCTCATTAAATCTGAAAGTTTGATATCGAAATGTGTCAGTCAGTCAACCGAATTGCATATGTTTATATACGGACAATTGTATGGAGAGAGAGAGAGAGAAATAATAAAATAATAGAAATCAATTGTCCTACTCGACGAGACGAAAGCAAACGAAAATAAATAGAAGAGAAAGTTCCAAAGTATTTTTTTTTGTCTAACATTTACAATAGAATCAATGCAAGTTGAGTGTTCATTTGAAATTATCGATCATGTTTTTTAATTGGGAATTTAAATGTTGGGGATTTTTACAAATATCAACCCTTGAAATTTGTCAAAAACAAATTGTTACTACTTTTTTAAATTTAAATTATTTAGAAGTAAATATTCAATTTATTATGTTTATATAATTATCAAATTAGGAAATTTTAATTAGATTAAAATTATTGAGAAAAAGACACGTGTATATGTGGTTGCATACGTTGGAAACTGTATTCATCTGTAACTTCGTATAACTTTGTAAAGAAACTAAAGATCTTATGTAATATTTATACTTGGAGTTGTATGAAAGATCCGAATGCAGTTTATATATTAAACAGTGGAATTCCTGGGTGGATATGATGGCAATAAATATTTACAGCTTTTGATATTCTCGCTGCAGCCGCCTCCGGCTTCCGAATATCGAAACTTTATTATTTCCAGCACTTATTTCGCATCTATTGCCGTTCCACCCCCCATTACAGGGATATCTCTATTTAATGTTGTTGCGACGCGTGCACACTGTTGCAGCATATATGCAATATTCGAAACAAAAAATAGAATAAAGTTTCAACGCCACCTGCATTTGTTAATATAAAATGTGTACAAGTAGTTGCAAAGTTTAACAAATTTTAATATTAACACAACAGTTTTATAACGCTGCAATATCTTTTTTTTGTTATTGAATAATTGTGTTTGAAAGCGTTTCATCAATTGAAAATCTATACTACAGTAAAAACTCCCTTAACGAAGATTACATTAACACATAAAGAAGAAATTCATTTATTTTTAGTGATTGGTAATTCGTTTTCTACTCAGGAGGGAGATTTTAAGAGAATTGCCGATAGTTTCTTGTTTTTCTTTCTGGTGCTTTGTCGGAATCGATGCATGCATGTGGGAATCTGGGGAATAATTAGGAAACTTGGCACGATCAACCATTAACCCGAATTGAAAACCGATTTAATGCATCCCAATCACAATACACTTCCGATGTAAACGGTCGCAGCTGAACCAGCAGTTTCGCAAATTCCATTACCGAAACACTGAAAAAAAAAATATTGATACTGAATCTGATTCAATTCGATGCTAACTAAATGTGAAAACAATTGATTGATAGTGATGATTCTATAATTCTTTTAATTCGAATCTATATGTTGAAGTGTAATTTAGATTTAGATAAATAATATGTATAATAGTTAACAGTTTTTGTTTTGATATTAGTAAATGGAAGCAGTAGTTAAAAACCTTGCGTATCAAATTGTAAACATGTTATCAGGTTCTGAGCGATTAAATGCTATATTCCGTATCCGGTTTCGTTTTGTCGCGGATTATGCAATAGAATGGAAATATTGTTAAAACAATACGAAGAGCGCGGATGTGGCTCTTTTTGGAATCTGCGCGATATTTGCATATTTTGAGGTCTTCCTGCATTCGCTCATTGTTGTTGTTATTGTTTCGTATTTGCAGTTTAAATTAAGTGAGCTGCGATTTTTTCATTTGGACGTTGATAATATTTCACTCTGTAATGAATCGATTAATTAAGATATTTCCATGATAAGCTTTCTGTTTCAATAGATTTTGTTTCATTTTGTAGTGTTTTTTTTTTAAATCTTTGTTTCCCTTTTGTGCGTTATTAGTTATAGTAATTGAGAAGCCGATCGAGGTTGAGATTTGCGCAAACTTTTGTTGTGTTTTACGAAGTTGGCGTAAAAGTTTCGGCTTCGTTTGGTTTCGCGTGGAAGTAGTGGAGACTTTGTGGTCATTCTTGTGTTTCGTTTGCGGTCGATGTTTTGTGGTGAAGATGAAATGTGAAGAGGAGGGTTTTTAATGGTCGTTTCGTTCGTCTGTTGCAGATGGCGTCGGGGGTGGTCGGCGGGGGCGGAAGTGTCGGGGGCGGCGTCGGTGGAGGCGGCGGCGGCGACAGTTCCGAGTCGCACGACACGGACCCAACGGGCGAGGAGTTGGATAGCCCGCCGACTGTCCGGAGAAGGGGTGGCCCACCCCGCGGCACTCGACCACATTCGGACCTCCTCAATCAGATCCTCATTGATCGGTTCAAGGTAAGATACATATTTTCATTTATATTATCACTATAAACGAGACACGTGTTGCTCAACATTTGTTTGGTAACACAGGTATTACCATGACAACGCCTGCATTCTCAACTACTTGTGACTAAGTGTCAAAGCTCCCGTTCTTATTTCTAACATCAATCATGAAATGCTGCATATCCGCACTACGTCTGACATGTTATATAAATACCTATCAGTCGCACCAACAATTTATTCCAAGAATTTTCGCGCAGTTTCGCTGTCATGAATAATAGTTGGTACACCTGACAAATGTGTACAAATTACATCAAATATATAACAAATTTAGTAATACTTTTATTCTTACTTCATACATTTATTTCATAACCTATCAATTTAAGTTATGAACAAGAATAATTTAATAAAAATATGATAAAATTTGACTTCACATACTGCGGTTTCGATTAGTGCGGATTTTGTATAATTATTCTAACAGATTTTGTTATAATTTTTAATTAATTCTAATAAATTTTTATCTAGAAATATTCTCGAAACGTAAATATGAGAAACTTAAATAAAATCAAATTAAATTTAACAGTGATTTTCGTAAATTTAAAAAGTGGACAAATTATGACTTGTTTAATTCTCTATAGATTTAGCTTCAATTTGAGTTAGAAATATGAATTTATTTCTTGTTTATTCCCAAACATACTGATTTTGATATTTATACATAATAACTATTAATTGAATAGTAAATCGAAATGTTTCCATAATTATTATAATACATTTGTTGTTATTTTATTTAGATTTAGTTTCAATTTGAATTATAAATTCTAATTTATCCAGTATTATGCTAAAATATGAATAATCTACAAAATTAATGACCAAATATAATAATTTGTAATTTAACAATAATTTTCTTTAATTCTAAAATAATTATTACAATGTATTTGTTTAATTATTAATTGATTTAGCTTCAATTTGTGTATTAATATATATTTATTTGGTAATCGTTAAATATGCTACAATTTACGTGTATCTAAATTACATAATATGTGAAATAATTGGAATAACTATGATAAACTTAATGAAAGAGAATAATGTTTCTTTTGTGGAAATGTGTTGTTTTTTTTTTGATTATTTCCTTATATGCAATTTAAAAAATTAAAATCATGATACTTTGTGAAAACGGAAATAATAATAATAATATACATTAATTTACAGCAGTTTCACTTATTAATTGTATTTATTTAACATTTGATTCAGTAAAAAATGTAACTTAAAACAACTAGACACAATTTAGATTTAAGTCTAATTTCGTAACATTATAGAAGAATTTACAAAAAAAAAACATTGTAATTCTGTAGAATTCGGGAAACAAACAAAGAATGATAAAAAAAAAATGCAAATTATTCACGTTGTGTATTCAGAAAATTCTAAAAATAGAGGAAAGTAATTGTACTTTGTATTTTCTCAACAATATATGCAACTTTGCGAATTTATAAATACTCACATTTTCTCTCTATTTACTAATTAGATTTTGTAGATTCAACGTTTTATACAAAAAAAATAAACTATTACTCATAAAATAACTTGAAATCGAATATATATATATAGATTTGTTGTATAGAAATAAATAAAAAAAAAAATTGTGAAATGTAATACATTGCATCCGCACTTTTCGCCATTTCACCTTCACCGCACTTGTAGGATTTCCAAGTTGCATTCGACGTATGTTTCGTGTATGTATACGCTCTTTATATAATCCGTCTCGCTCCTTCTGCTTCCCTCCACGTCCTTCCACCGCTCGCTATCCTTTTGCTGAACCTGCGTGGGAGCTTTCCCCTCTGGCACTTATCGTTGCCTTTTGTATTGATTTAGCTTATCACACGGTTGCGAGACGCGAGACCACGAGGAAGAATCGCGTTCCTCGTGCAGCAGCAACAACCGAATGTTTTTTCTTGTTGTTGTTGTTGTTGTTTTAATTTTGTAAGAAGACGAAAAATGCGCATTCCTGACTGAAAATAACGGTGATGGAAAGACAGTGCGTGCGGTTTTAGTTTAGATGCGATCTTCTAACGAACGAAACCCCATCTTTCCTCAATGTAAATATTTAATTTCGCGCGAGTTATGCAATTCCTTCGGTCTGGATAACATTCGAATTCGTTTACGTTAAAACGAAAGAGGGGCAAAATATATATTTGTGTGTGCCTGTGAAACGAAAATAATACTGCGGTTTTTTTTTTCACTTCTTCGTTTTATAATGCGTGGAAGGTGCTGTTGTTCTGTTGTTTTTGGTGCAAGTTTAAGTATTCTCTCGGTTCTTATCAGTTGAACACTTACAGGTGAGATTACGTAAGTTTACGTTAAGGCGATTTGGATTTATTGTTGTTTGTTGATGATGAAGTCGGTTTAGCTTTAATTAACCTTTTATGCGCGCGTATTTTCAAAGGTTACACATTCCTCGGTTACAAATTCAATTATTTGATTCTAACATTCACATAATTCTTTAAAGTTTTACAATCGAATTGTAGAAATGTACAAGAATAGAACTTAATGTGCGTTAATTACAATTATTAAAAGCAATTCTTTTTTGAACTTTATGTAATTTCAATTTCATAGTTGTTGTTTCATTATAGTTTTTTAATCTTCTACAATTAGTCTTTAAAAGCAAATATTTGTTTATACTACATTATTTATAAGGAAATTCCTGTTTTATTTAGAAATTAACTATAAATTCCATTAATTAACTTGTTGAAAGTTCAAAATTTTGTTAAAAACTAAATGCGTTTTTTGTTATTAAGGAAATTTTCTTATTTATAGATGTTGAAAAGTATGGGCGATATCATAAATTAATATAATGAATGCTACAATTACTAGAGTTGGAATTGCCACAATTAATTTACTCACAAGTTGGAACACTTTTTTTTTTCTAGTGAGATATAATAAAAGTGTTTAGTGAAATTTGAATGTTTCTAATTAGTCCATGACTTCAATGAGTTTCTTTTTTTATAACATATTTTTATTAAGTAGTTAAATCCAAATTAGAAACTTTCAATTTATTACATTATTAAGATAATTTAATGTAATTTTCATTTGCAAATATAAATTCTTGATTTTGACAATTAGTGAAATTTTGAACTTTTGAAAATTTCCATTACATTTTACAGAATTTCCTTAATAACTACAAATATTTAAAAGACGATTGTATAAGTAAATTAAGACTGAAATTTTAGACTATCCAATGAGATTAATTATATGTTTACAGAGCTTTAGGTTTATGAGTAATTTGATCTTAAAAATGATAGATTTTTTTGTACAATTTATTAAATTTTAACACAAATTACTATCGATCTTATACAGTACTATAAATGCAATTGCTTTTAAAGGCTTTAAAGAAGAAAATATACAGAAAAATGAGCAGCATTTTAAATATAATACTCTATTCTCGTACTCTCCAAATGCTGCGATGTCGATTCGTTGAATAATTTTTATGGTTTCCGAGCGTCGCATATGCGGGTTGAATGGATTATTAACTCTTCATTAACTCACTTACAGTATACACACAGTATAGTGTACACACTCATGTACGCGTGACCTCAGAAAAGGCATTGAAAGCCAGTGAAATCGTCAGTTTTAGGAAAACGTTCACCCAAAAAAAATAATATCTAAACAATAATTACGTAATTTTTCTCCGATTTTACTTAAAAAATGACTTTGCAATTGAGATTTCTTTAACCACACATGATTTTTTTAAAGCAATAAATAATAATATACGTTTGCGAGAGTGAAATAAGGCCACGGTTTTTATATTTTTTGGAAAACGTCGAGCAACAATTAAATTATCGATTTGTGAAGTAATAATCTTTTAACGTGACATTATTTTGAAATTTAGTTTTGTTGTTTTCTTTAAGTTTTTTTGTAGAATTTAGTTTTTCGTTCAGTAATTTTTGTTACAGTTTTCTTCAAATATTTTAAGTAGAATTTTGTTGTCCATCGTAAATCTTATTTAAAATTTACTTCTTTCTTTCAATTTTAAGTTGAATTTAGATAAAATCTTAGTAGAATTTTAGATGTTAATTTATAATATCTGTTTAATGTATTTTCATCGTCTTCACTTGTTCAAAACTTTTGTACAATTATTGTTTTACCATTAATTTGTATACAATTCTTTTGTGTGTTTGAGAAATAGGTTAAAAATGTGAAGATACTTCTAATCGCCATCAAACAAATGCGAATGTTTTTTTTTCTAATCAGAAAAGAAACTTTCATATTGTAATTGGTTTCTGCACACGCATTCAATTCTTTTCTTATCGAAATGCAAACAAATCGTCGTACATGAATGAGAGGTGAAAGTGCACTTTGTATATTATCATCATCTTCGTACGAGTAATTAGATTTAGATTGAAGTAAGAAAAATCGTTAACAATAGAAGAAACGTTACAGATTTTCAGGTCATCTCGGACTTTCGAAACGCAGCGAAAATCATCGAACGATCACGATGAATGAATGAATCATAGGTATAAATTGATCTCAATCTGTGTGTTAATTACCTTTAATTGATTGAATTCGAACGGGAGAATCCACAATTTGCCATTCAGAAACGCAGCTTCGGTTCTCGAAATATTTCTCGGAAGTCTCCAAATAATACTTTGAATGCTTCTAAAGAAAAGTAAAAAAAAGATGTATATATATATAATTTTTTGTCGCCGAGACGCGTGAGGTGAATACACAAAAGTCCTATTGTCCTCGAGGCACACCCGCACCTAAATGACAATAATTGCATTGCATCGAAGACACGGGAGGAGAGGACGTGCGCGCACAAAAGTTTCCACTGTGGAAAACACACACAAAAACTAACATCAAAAAGATGATTTAATGCTTCTTTTACCTGTGGTTTCCACGAAATTAATTAGGAAACATCATTGAAAAGTTGGCATTTTCGCTGCGAAAAGATAAATGTAAAACTCGTCCGGGGAGAGTTCACGAAGTTCGTGGAAAGTCGTGAACACAAGTTTCGAAGTAATCGTATTAAACGCAAATTGATTCAATGGGAAGAGAAGAAAAGAGGGAAAAAGAAACGCAGATTATTAAGAATTGTTTTAACGTGAACATAAGATTGATTAAGGGTAATAAAAGGAAATGAAATTTAAGACGGAAAAGATATTGATTAATGCTGAAACTGAAAGGAAATCAATGTAATGAAGAAATAATAAGTCTGTTATTATATAAATTGAATTAATTACTTTTATATAAATTATTTAAAAAAAACTTGAATTGTTAATTTCCAATAATCGTGTCTATATTTTAATACATTTCTTTTATGATTTAGTGCACAAATTAAAGCTGAAATTCTAAGGAATCTAATGAGTATACATTATTTCTTATAGGATCTCGTGTATTTTCATTATTTTTCATACTTAAACATGTTTACATATATTAATAACTATTAATAGTAGATTGAAGGTTGAGCATGCAAATTGAAAGGAAAATAGTATATTTATTCTTGTAGGATCTCGAGGATTTTTGTAGAAAGGATTGCCAAAAATTGAACATAGAAATATTAGTTTAAAAAACAAGCAATGTTTTTTTTTTTTTGAAAAAACTTTGATTAGTTGATTTTTTATTAAATATGCAAGCTGAAGCTGAAGTTACATAGAAAATAATTATTGTATGTTAAAATTAGCAGGTATTTTGAAAATGTATAAAACGAAACGTTAGGAATGGAAAATAACTTCTATACATTATACGAATTTAATCCAATATGCAAATTATAGCTGAAAATTTGTATAATTAATAATGATTACATATACACAAATTAGTTTTTACAAAATTTAGTATTAATATATATATAAATTAAATTTGATGAATTGTACCAACAATGCCTTCAAATTATTCGATTTTCTTAAAAAACAGTATTTAGTATAATATGGAAATGAAAGTTGATCTATTAACTAATTGAGTATCAAAAATTATATTGAGTTACGAATATCTTAAAGATTAAGATTTTGAGTTAATATTAAGCTTGCAAATTAGAGCTGAAACTAAATTCATTTTTTAAGATATTTTCATTGATTAGTCTATAGAATGTTTAGTATTTGATGATAATAATTTGAAACTATAGGGAATCTAGTAAAATAGTATTTAGCCAATAAGTAATAATTTTCGCAGACTGTTTGAATAATTTATGATACAATTTTTTCGTATTTTCAATTAATGTCTAATGAATTTGTTATAATTTATGACAAATCTTTCATTAAGTTTCAGTGATCATTTCTAAAAACAACAAATATTTGAATATTGAAATTGTGTCCATTTTTCTCATTGTTTCACTTGAAATTGATGTGCTTTGATCTCAAGTTAATGTCGAAGAATCCGCAGTAATTAAACTGAAGTCTAATGAATTTGTTATAATTTATAACAAATCTTTCATTAATTTTCAGTGATCATTTCTAAAAACAACAAATATTTCAATATTCAAATTGTGTCGATTTTTCTCATTGTTTCACTTGAAATTGATGTGCTTTGATCTCAAGTTAATGTTGAAGAATCCGCAGTAATTAAACTGAAGTCTAATGAATTTGTTATAATTTATGACAAATCTTTCATTAATTTTCAGTGATCATTTCTAAAAACAACAAATTGTGTCGATTTTTCTCATTGTTTTACTTGAAATTGATGTGCTTTGATCTCAAGTTAACGTTGAAGAATCCGCAGTGATTAAACTGAAGTCTAATGAATTTGTTATAATTTTTGACAAATCTTTCATTAATTTTCAGTGATCATTTCTAAAAATTACAATCATTTCAAGAATATTCAAATTGTGTTAATTTTGTCTTATTGTTTCACTTGAATTAATGTGCTTTGATCTCAAGTTAACGTTGAAGAATCCGCAACGATTAAACTGATTAAACGTTTCGAATGCATTTGACACACTTTTCACTTTGACACGCGCCGAAGCCGAATGTCACGTACTTAATTAAGTGTCAATTATGGATGGATCCGTACGCCAACTGACAGCGACAACACCTGGTCTTCTTGCTGTTGTTGTTGTTGTCGACGTGATCCATGGATGCAAGGCTAAATTTGGGTTCCGAGTAAATCCCGACAAAGGCACCAACTGTCTGCATTTTTTCTCCATCTCATCTCTTTTCCTTCCCTTTAACATCTCATCTCAATGGCGCGCACATGCTCGCTCCCAAAAAACTTGTTACCCATCTGCCGAAAATTATCTTATCCCGTGATTTAGTGCCGCTACCTGCTCTTTTTTTCTACATTCTCCGTTCTCTCTACATACTCAGTTTTTCTCTTCAGCATCCTCCTACAAATGTACCATAAATTGTAGCGCTGGCTGCATGTGTGCGCTTTATTCCAGATTTTTTTTTTGTTCCTTGATAACTGGTAGTAGTGATTCAAAGCATTGCTAGCAGGAAGTTGCGTTCCGGATGTCTAGTCTCCCTTTCTTTCTATCTCTCTTTCGCGTTTTTGCTTTCTCGAAGGGGAACGGCGCGCGAGCCCCGAAGGCAGGTGGTAGCGCGAAATCGAAGGGTCTTTTCCTCTTTCTCCCTTCCGCTCACCTCAAAACCAAACAATTCTCCCTCTCTCTCACTCTCTCTTTCTCCACCGCCAGTTGTTATTTTTTGAAAAGGGATGGCCACATCCTCTTTATTCACCGGCAGCTGTTTCGTTGCCACGGTTACAAGGGTGTGCAGAAGAGGGGGAGATTATAAGCGCAAGCTAGTCGGTCTAGGAGGCGTCGCACGTTCCAAACGCTTCTTATCGCGCGCGCTTCCGCCAATTGTCAGATGTAGGTAGGAGAAGCCAAGGCTCTTAAAAAATTAATAATACTAAACTGAAAACAGGAAGAATATTTACTTATGTGAGTGAGTTTGTTGTGTAACGTGCCTTGTTTATTTCTTATTTTTTTTGTTATATAATTTAACTATGTGCATCGGAGGTGCTCTCTTGGATTATCTGGTGAGATTCTCTACAAGTTATCAAATTACAAGCAAAAAAAAATAGTGCTAAAGTTGAGTGGAATGAGAAGGCGTTAAGTAAGCGATGATGTCCTTTCTTTTTCTCTTCTCCGGTGGCCACAGATTCTAATCTGAGGACCACCTAACTTGTCGTTGTTTAATGCCTCGAAAAACACACACAATGAGCACTGTTTTAACTTTTTTTTTGTTTGCCTTTTTTTCGTGGAAAAACGGCGTGAATCCTGCAGTAATCAGGACTTCCCGACGCGAATGATTCACGCACTTGAAATGCTCGCTTATCTCATCCACATCCACACACAATACTTATCGCAGTAAATAAATTGTACAGTTTTATAATACTAATTGTAAAACAATATTTAAATGTTTGCTATTATATTTTTCATCAATTGTTATTTATACTTTTTTTTTACATTTTCTTGTAATCAAACATGATTTTCAGTAGTAACTGTAGTTATTTAATCTATTTGTCAAATAATCTAAACAATTCAAGTTTTACACTTATTATCAGTATATATTATGATTAAATTATAAATTCATTTTTTATTGAATGAATCTAACAGATGAAAACAAAAGTAATCATAAAACTTCTTGATTTATATAGAAAATAAACAAACGTTTCTTTGAATCGTTTAAAATTTAACATTGGAAGTATTTCTTACTTCTTTGATTAAAATTTTCTATGTAAAATGTTGTTCTTTTGTAGACGTTTTTCAAAAACCAACAAAATATTTTTATTGAATGAATCTAACAAATGAAAACAAAAGTAATCATCAAACATCTTGATTTATATAGAAAATAAACAAACGTTTCTTTGAATCATTTAACATTTAACTAAATCTTATACGATAAATTACAATGAGTTGAAGTAATCTGTAATAGTAGTAATTTTTGCATTTCTGCGTTTTTCTCAAACATTGTTTTATTAAGACGATTTAAGAATTTAACTTAGAAGTATTTCTTACTTCTTTGATTCTTTTGTAGAAGTTTTTCAAAAACCAATAAAATATTTACTTCAATTAATAGAACATAAATAGTTACAAACAAATAATTCAACAATTAACAACTTCTTAAGTTTTTTAAGAAGTTTCAATAAAATATGAACGTTTTTAACGCATTTATAAAAGTAAACTGCAAAAAGTTGATTTTGATTAATTTTTTATTGAAAAACCAAGTAATTTCAATAAGCAATTATTATCGATTGAACAAAGTGAAGATATTTTGAAAAATTCTAATTTTTTATTTCCGATTAAATTCCATTAAGAATCGAAGAAATAAGTGATAAATTTTGAATATAATTTTGTCGATTAATGAAACTGAAGAAAGACAATTGTACATTTAGCAATTCTAAAGACATTTTTCTTTTTAAGTCCAATAAGATTTTTACACAATTAATATTTTTCATTAATTAATAATAATTGTAACTTTATAATTAAATTGAAAGTCAAAACGTCTTTTCTTATACGTAATTTTAATAATGCTGGGGTAATATTTAAGCTCTAAAAACCAATTTTGGTATACGTGTAAAACTTGTTGAATCTTTCTCCCCTTTCATCTTATGTTGTTTTTTTCTCCATCGAACAAATGGATGATACTAATTTCCGGGAACCATGAATAATGTAGAACGTAAACAACAAGAGTTGAGAAAAAAAAAAGGGTCAAGAAACTCGTCTCGTCTTCAACAACAAACTACAACTCGGTTCTTTCTTCGTTTTCTTGCAGGCTGAGTTGCGCTCAAGGGCTCACAAACATCAGCACGTGAGGAGAACGCACTCGGATTTGGGTGGACAGCGGATCTACCAGTGGGATTCGAGGGCGTCCTACAGGCGCCTGATGTCTTTGCCCGTGGCCCCGCTGAGGGCGCGCCCTCAGAGTCCCCGCAAGAAACCACCTGATGGCAACGGGCCGCCCGGAGTGCAGCTGCGCAGCCACCCGCTATATAGGAGAGGACAGCTGCGGAGGTCGCTCAGTCAGCCCTTAGACATCGACAAGCTATCGCCCATCCTCAGACCCAAAGCACCAGGTAAGAAACACATACATCATCATCTATCTACCTTCTTCTCTTTCTACCGTACGCCCCCACACGCACGTTTCTATGGGAACGTGTGCCTTCTTCATCCATCTCCTCAACCATTATGCTAATAAGAACACTATCTTTAGTCGCACTCTCCCTTTTCTTTTATGACCGAGACCGATCTTATCCACATTCTTTAATTTTTTTTTTTGGAACGAATTTATCTCGAGCGTTCCCTAATCTTACATCATTTCCATCTGAGCAGACACAATCTTTCCAACCCAAAGAATATGACTTCCTTTAACATTTGTAAACACTTTTCTTCACTTTTGATCCATTCCAAGAATCATATCATCAAATAGAATGCTTTGGTATAAAAAAAACCAATTCCAATTAGAACTTCAGCAATCTTATAAAATGCTTCATCAACAATTGCATTTTCATTTATTTGTATTGATTACATCTATTTAATGTCTAAATTAAGAAATTGCAAATAATTATGGTAGTTAAAAACGTATTGGATTTAATGAGATTCTTCAGATTAGTTGAAGAATATGTAAGTTTTGGATTATAAATCTTGAGAATTAATTGATATTTATAAGGTTTTATTGCAAGTATTAACATTGGTGATGATTAGTTGAAAGATGTAAATCTTTGTTTGCTCGTTCAATCTATTAATTCAAGTATTCTATTTTGGGAAGTAAATCTATCAATTTTTGTATAATTTCAATGTTTATACAAGGATAAGTCTACTCATTAGATCATTTTCTCACATTATTACACATTAACGTTTGTACCATAAACAAGACCTGTTAGTATTTATTACCAAAACAGATAAAATGTAAATAAATACTGAAAGTGATTTGTATTGAGGAGAGAGTATTTGTTTTTGGTCTGCGAAATGAAGAAGAAAGTATAGGTTTTAATGAGGCGTCTAGGATTAGTATAAGATGTGTTTACTGCAGCTCTTCGAAAAAATTAACGTGCACGAAAATAGAATGATAGTTTCAATATCACTTTTACTACGTGCTTTCGAGCAATTTAACGTGAATCATGGCGTAATGTATGCGTTTTTTGATGACTCGAGTCAAGTTAATAAAGATTATCTTCATTCATGGTTTCATCTGTGTTCTTTTTGATTCTAAAATTGTATTGGTTTTTGAAGGATTTTGTAGGTTTTTGAATTATTTTCTTGTATTAATAATTGTAAGTTGATGATTAATGTTTTTTTCTCTCTTGTGTTGTAGGTTTGAAAATGACCGGAGTAGCAGTAAGCGAGGACGAGCAGGACGGTCGCGTCGGCACCTCCGACGAAGAGATGATGTCCGACTCTGAGTCGTCCGTCGCCTCTTTGACCGAACGCAAGAAGTCGCTGGAGCTGCCCATGGATGAGGACATGGTGATCCTCGCTGAGGCCGTCTTCGACCACGTCGCCATCGACGCTGAAGAGTTGGCGTTCCGCGCCGGCGACGTGATCGAGGTGCTCGAGACGGTGAACAGAGACTGGTGGTGGGGTTCGGCTGCAGGTCGCACCGGATGGTTCCCCGCCGATTCGGTGCGATTGCGCGTGAGCCAGGAGGACACCGTCGAGGATTGCCTCGCGGCGATGGCATCCGGCAAATCCGCGCAAAGCCAGATCCGACGAAGGACTAGTATTTCTTTATTATCCAATGACCAAGTGAGGACTAGTGTTGTGCGCGAGCTGGTGCACACGGAGCGCGATTTCGTGAAAGTGCTTCAGGACGTCGCCGAAGGATACATGGCGGAGTGCAGGAAACGCAAGGACATGTTCTCCAAGGAGCAGATCGACACGATCTTCATCAATCTGGAGGAGATCCTGCGCTTCCAGATGGCCTTCCTCAAGGACCTCGAATCGTGCATCAATTGGGAGGCGCCGCACAAAAGCTGCATCGGCAGCTGCTTCATCAAGCACAAGGCCGGATTCACTATGTACTCGGATTACTGCAACAGTCATCCGATGGCCACCGCCACTCTTCAAGAGCTCTACCAGTTCAACAATTACAGCAAGTTCTTCGAGGCTTGTCGCCTGATGCGCGGACTCATCGAGATTCCGCTCGACGGATACCTTTTGACGCCCGTCCAGAGGATCTGCAAGTATCCACTGCAACTTGCCGAGTTGCTCAAGTACACCAAATCCGAGCACGACGATTACGAGGACATCACCGAAGCCTTGGACGCGATGCGTGGCGTCGCCGTACTCATCAACGAGCGCAAGAGACGCATGGAAAGTCTAGAGAAGATCGAGGCTTGGCAGCAAAGAGTCGAAGGATGGGAGGTAAATAACTATCAACAAAATACTCATGAAAACTTCTTGAAAAAATCTTATTGAATCAATGACTAAAAGACTATTTTATCTCTTTTTTTATACAGGGTGATGATTTGATTGAAGAAAGTACACAGCTGATCCATCAAGGAGAGGTGGTTCGTGTGACGACGGGTATTTGGACTTCCAACATAATTCTCTTCCTCTTCGACCATCAACTCGTCTACTGCAAGAAGGTAATAACAACACCAGCATCATCATAATCATCCTATTTCTAACATATCTCGTTTGTTTTCTTCTTCAGGACATCCTGAAACGCAGCACCTACGTCTACAAGGGTCGCATCTGTTTGGACACTAGCGAATTAATCAATGTACCGGACGGAAAAGGTAAATTTCCTTTGACTAAATCTAATGAAGCTAACAGAAAAATCTAAGTATAGAGAACAAAGAAAAAAGAACCGAGCGGAATTGATTAACAATTCATTATAAAATAATCTATTAGTTAACTTTTCATTAAGATCTATTTGGGAATGAAAAAAAATTAATGAATTTTCTTTTATGATTGTACAGATCCTCATCTAGGCGTGACAGTGAGACACGCGATAAAGCTGTACAGCTGCGTCCGAGATAAATGGCTTCTGGTGTGCTGCAGATCGGCAAACGATAAGCAGCGATGGCTTCAGGCCTTCGCCGATGAACGAAAATTGGTGGCTCAGGATAAGAACGATGGATTGGATTTTGCGGCGTCCTCCAGACACCTGGCGAAAATTGCGGCGAGGTGTCAAAGGCGACCACCAAGAAAAGTCAGAAGTACGTACAGTTACAAATTGAATAATCTGCAATACAATTCGAAAAGAGATAGCTAACAAATTGTTGTTTTTTTCTTCAGGTGATAAAAACTATAAGAGGGATGCTTCGTATATGGGTTCGACGCTGCAGCTGAACAGCTCGAATTCGAACAGTCTGGGCAGAAGAGTGGGCACCTGGTTCACATTCGGAGGCAACAAGAAGACGCGCCACAGGGACGTTTCCTGAGACAAGACGACGTTGCTGTAGTGCATTGTGCCAGTGTGATACTAAGCTTAGAAGTAAATTATTTATATAAATCCAGTGCCAAAAACAAAAAAAATAATAATGGAAAAAGACAAGATTATTAAAGCAACAACAAAATGGAGAAGAACTAAAGGATTGAATGGGATAACGAAGAGTTTGAAGCCTCTGTTTCTCCCACGATGCACGTGCAGCGACCCGAATAATCTTTATATATTGTACATAAACATTCATCGTAGATTGTTGAATATCTCTCTTCTCTATATATATATAGCAAAATTTGGCGCTGCGCAAGAATCCTCGGAAGTTTTGGGATCTTCTCCGTAGGCCTAAACAAGCTGCCGCGAACCTAGGACACTCGCATATATATATATTATCATTCAGTATTCAGAATCTCACTTGAACAGATAAGGTGGACTGAAGATTGTTTTTTTTTGTTTCTTTCATCTGTATAAAAAGAAAAGTTTCACCTTTCCTCGCGGAGAGAAAAGCGCACAAAGCGTCTACAAAATGCAATACAAGAAGATGATATAAGTAATACAATAATGTGATAAGAAGCAAACTTTCGTATCCTTTCGACCAAGGTTTCTTTATTAAACACCTTTCCTTCTCTTTAATCTTTAAAATCTTAAATCTCTCCTAAAGAAAAAAATTATTGGCGCGACGATGCCGGCATGAAGCCGAAGACGAAGAGTGTGCCCTTTTTCAACAGGGTAGTAGACGCACGGCACACTCTTCAAAACAAAAGTGAAGAATAAAAAAAATTGAACAACAAGAACAAAGGCAGAAACAAGAACGAATACAAATATATATATATAAATATAATAAATATACATATTTATTTCCACTTTCCAAACTTGAGTTGGAAACTGTTAAATCTTATTTTCTCTATCCCCGAGACGACGCACTCTATGCAAAAAAAACGCGCATAGATTAATAAAGTGCGGTTAAGTTCGTAGGGAATATCACTAGTCAGTATTTATTATTATTATAATTACGTAATTTCTTAATTTTATTGTATGTCTATTGTTTTGTCATCAACGAGCGCGATGTAAACAAAATCGGAGCCCTCTTTCGGACCAAATCGAAAACAACCAAAAAAAAAATTGAAAACAAAGCTTCTTGATGTTGTCACATCATTACCATTCGCTTTTAAGTTCGAATTTCTTTAACGTTTCGGTAGTAGCAATAACTGCACAAAATTTACGTATATATAAAAATTAACTATATATTATACATATGAATGATAATTAAAGTAACTAATTGATGATTACTTTTTTTTTTGGAAAATTTAAAAAAAAAATTATTTATACTTATTATTAATATTATTAGCTCGACTGTTATACTTATAGTAGAAAAGTTACTATTATTTTTTTATTTTAATATTATTGAATTTTTACGTTGGATCGTATTTTTGTAATTTTCCTACACTGTCTGTATAAAAAAAAAATAATTTATAT